TCACATTCTGCGCCCAGAATTTCGGTCTGTGCCATTGGAAAACCAACGACTCCAACCTTTTCAGGACCACCTCGGCTATGAGTCCTGAAATCGGTGAACCCATCGGTGTCCCCTTCACCTGTCGTAGATTGTTCCGTCAAACGTGGAGGTACGTCCTGAGAGAGAACCTCAGGAGCTGTAGGATTTGCGCATCTCATTGTTTTTTTTTTTGTAGGAGCATTTCGCGGTACCGATTGCCAGATCCTGAGGATAGAAGTAAAAAGGAGCGTGACATCGAAGGAAACCATGAAATCACTTGACAAGAGACATACCCCTTTAAGTTTCTCCAAGAATTGTGCTGACAAGCGGACCGTGGTCTCCGAATCAGCGGTCAGAAATGTGAGGTGCCGAAACAGCGCATTTGCTAGTCCGTATTTTGTTGTGCCCTTTAGTGATACGATGGGTCGGTGAGGAGCGCCTTCCTTGTGCCCTTTGGGGAGGCCATAGAAGCGGGCCAAGGCCGTTTCTTGTGCCCTCGCCATATGTCGGTCAGACGGCGTTATTGTACTCGAGTTCTCTAGAGCCAACAGGGTTGAATTGATTTCGCGTGTCAGCATTTTGATGGGATTGGTTTCTCAAGGAACATAAAACTGACAATCCTCCAGTGTTTTTCGCCTTCTGAAGGAAGTCTGTACTGTCAAATATGATCGTAGAACGTCCCTTGTTGGCCGGCACGATGATGATGTCCCGGTCGGTCTTAAGTGCTCTTAATGCAACGCGTTCGACCTTGGGGAGCACTTCACGTGGTTGATGAGCCATCAGGAGGGACGATACCTGTTTTTGGATAGGGTTTTTCGTCTCCTCCATTGCTTCTGTCTGATTGACGACTGATTTCACAGCTGCAATCATGTAAGCAGGTTTAGCATCAGCCGTGTTGAATGAAGCTTCGTGCTGTAGAAACTGTACTTGCTCCTTCGTCAGTTCTTTCGACAACAAGTTGTGTACCAATACGTCTATTCTGGATGACGTTGGATTGTGCAGTTTGAGTAATTTGCTCTCC